AAGGAAAAATTCGTGGTGATTTCAAGAAGGTAGCATTCGAAGATAAAAAGTTGTGTAAAGCAATAATTGGTACGTTAGGTCAATATTTTTTATCTATCTTTCCTCCTTACATATGTTTTGTATTCTTAGATATATTTTAGTCTTGAACCTGAATGGTTAGCGATAAAAAAAATCAAACAAATAGTCAGTTATAAGAAAAATATATGTTTAATTGACATTCCATTTACAGTATCCTATGTTTTATTTTAGAAGCCATCCAGCTAACGCACGAGTCTTCGACAGAAGCACAAATAAAAGAACAAATAGGAAGCATATTAAAGTTTTCTCCATTTGTTAATAAAAGCAAAAAAAATAATATTGAGGAAGCAAGCGATTGTTGAACAATTATTTATTTGTGGCTTTTTTTGGTAATTTATAATATATGCTATATACAAAAGAATATACAATATATCTTTAAAAAAAGTCTTTTTTTTTGAAAATATTTTTGCTAGCCCTTTGTAAGGGGTTAAACACCCATATATTAACGTAAGATATTGATTGTAATTGTGTTTAACATTTTAAGTTAATATAATTATACGTTAGTATTCATATAATAACCATGACACGAAGTCGCGTATAAACGGCTTCGGCTAGGGGTTATATAAATATAACTGTATAGTTGCATTAAGATTAAATATTAAACCCAATTACAATCAACATTTTACGTTAATATAAAACGCACATGTTTTTACAACTTAAATTTACGTTAGTATAACGTTAATCTAACTTTAGAATTTTACGTTAGTATAACGTTAATACCTAACGTAAATCCAACGTAAGAATTTTACGTTACAAAACCTTTCCATTTTGCCGAACCGGCAACGTTGTACTAACATAAAATCTAACGTAAATACAACGTAAATACAACGTTGTGTGCCGGCTGGGTATTAGACAATGTGACAACACATCAGTTAGGTTAAAAAAGAACTATAAAACTTGGGGAAAAAAAGGATACGTATAATCAATAGCCAAATATATGGGTAAAATATAAACACTTAAGTAATCCCAGATAAATCTTTTTTTAAGCATCTAAGAGAAAAATAGCAAAAATATTTTTTTTTTCTTTTTTGGTTCCAAATCAAAAAAGTGTCCGTGCATTTTTTTTATACAGCGGTCCAACAACCATTTGATGCGCATTTTATTACCATTCTAAATACCTATGTTTTATCCATTAGATGTTTTACCATGTGATGAGTAGTTTTTAAGATATTTTAGTTGCCCAACTTGCCCCATTGCTTAACTAGTCCCAGTCTACCCTACTTAAAACCAGGATTTGTTTAAATATTATTTAAAATCTGTGTTCAAATCAAACATAAATAAACATTATTTATTTATGTTTGATTTGAACAATAATTTGCAAGTACTTAAATGATTCAAATTTTGCAAAAATCACTTTACAGAATCGTTTATTAAATCCTAACTAAAAATCTTTGATTGATAGCATTTTGACGGTTTTTTGATGTAAAACAAGAGGTTGCACGCCCATCTTTTATACGTCTATTTGAACAAATTTGAATAAGTGGAATACCTGGAGCTCAAGTAAAGTTACAACATTTTACAAAAATAACAACCATATACAGTAACGGCCATTGAATTAAGGCACCTAGCAGAATTGCAGTTTTAATTAAGCAAGTCTAGTTTCTCTTTCATGAAATCGTATTATATGTACAATTAGTATTATAAAATGTTAGCATTCATTAAGTTCCAACAATTTTCAAAAACGTTTAGATCAGGTGAATTTGAGGGCCAGTTCTTCAAAAGTTGCACATCGTTGTCATGAAGCCACTTCTTGACTGATTTCGCAGTATGACACGGTGCTGAGTCTTGCTGAATAATGGTACTTTTAGATTTGAATCCACCACTCAACAGTTTTGTCCTTCATATCACTACAGAATTTCACTCGTGCCTGAAGCTGCTTCTTGTTGAGAAATTGCTTTTTTGTTGGTATACGCGTATGCAGTTTGAATTTTGTAGACAGACGTCTGCGAACACTTCTGGCACTAATATTAATGCCTCTTTCCGTGGCCAATTGGTTGACTCGGGTAGAGGAAGTGTGAGGACTAGCTTGTTCAATACTTTTCAGGTATCAATCATCACAGGGTGTAGTTTTCTGAACGCCGTGGCAATTTTGACGTCTAGAACTCCCATATAATTTTATAACGTTTTGTACAGCGCATCTCAATATTTCTAGACGTTTAATAATCAGTACAACTTGTGAGTACCCTTCACCATGCAAAGTTATGACTTGACCTTTAACAAAATCACTCAAATCTTCCTTTTAACGCATATTTACTTTATTTACTATTTACTTTAAAAAAAAACTTTAATATACTTTGATGACGTCTTTTAAACAAAGTATCCAAAAGATTTTAATTTGATTCATTTAATGACATTGACATATAAACTTAGCATATTTAAGAGGCACATTTAAAGTTTTACAAAATTTATCTAAAAACCGTAAGGTACCTTAATACAATGGCCACTACTATATATATATATACATACATATATATATATATATATATATATATATATATATATATATATATATATATATATATATATATATACACTGTAAATCTAAAAACCGTAAGGTACCCTTAAGGTTCTGCGGCGGTTCCTCCAAGAACCTTGAGGTTCTTAGAGCCGACTTAAAGAACCCGTGGTTTCTTCATGCTGCTAAATGGTTCTTTATAGAAGAGGCTAATTTTTTAAAGGAAGTTTGAAGAACCTTTAAGGTTCTTCGCTTAAATTGTTAGATATTTTAGTCTTAAGGTTCTTCAAAAGATTCTTCAAAAACTTTTTTTTCTTTTTTAATACTCCATTTTGTTTTTCGATATATTTTTTTACCCAGCATGTTAGTTGATTACAACGTGGATTTATAAACTTGACTAAACGTATAAACATGAATTTTGAAACAAAATGATATACTTCCAACAGTTGTTAGCTTAACATATGGTTTTGTTTTATCAATTACTAAAATTAATTTTGGATACCTTATGAATTTTGGATCCAAACAATGTGTGGATCCAAAATTCATAAGGTAAAATGAAAAATCATATATTCATGAGGGAAAATGTTTTAAACTATTACAAAACGTAATTTATACTAATTGTACTAAATTTAACGTAATTTGTACTAACTGTGGTAATCATTAATGATTACTATTTGTCTAACTATGTTTTAAAATATAATGTTGAGATCATTGTACAGAATCCAAATATCATACTGGCAGTATGATATTTAGATTTTATGCAATGATCCCAGCATTATATTTCAAAACAGTATTACTGCATCCAAAATTAATTTTAGTAATTTAATTTGAATACAATGACAATGCATTAGCTTTATTTTGTCGTATAAGTTAATTCAAATTTAAAGTACAATTATCCTTAAATTTTTAGTTAAAATTTGGAATAATGAATTGGTCAATTGAAGAAGTTTGTTTGCATTTAGAGCAGAAAGGTCTTGGTGATTTAAAAGAAAAAATTGTTGGTTAGATAATGCATTTTGAGTTTTTAAATGTTTGTTTAGTAATAATTATACTGATATTAAATCTATATTATTTTTGTATTTAGCAAATAATATTTTTTGAAATGGCTGCATCTAATAATAACTTGTGTTTTACTTGTTGTAGATGTGGCGCGCAGAAGTATTCTGTACAAAAAAAATTTACAACATTTGTATATCATGCATGAACATACCCCTGGTTTTTTCCCATTGTGTAATATTATTAGTTGTCCTGCCAAATATAAATCTGTAAAATGTTTACGACACAATATGCACAAAAAGCATAGTTTCATTTTTAGCACACCTCAAATATTAACAAATGAGCCTGATAATATTAGTGAAATAATGGAAAACCACATTTTAGCAGATAGTAATGGGGATAACACCATAGCTGAGTTTGTGATAGATTCTACCACTAACAACTGCAGTCAAGCAAGTTGTAGTTTGGATTCTAATATAGATGCCATATCCTCGCTAGACAGTCTACTTAGTTATTTGCAGAAACATTACGCTATGTTTGTAGTTGCAATAGCAATAATACATTCGATTCCGTCTGTTGTTCAAATTGATTTAGCAAACGAAGTTCAATCTTTGTTGACATATTTAAATCATACTTTTTGTGATCTAGTAAAGCAGCAACTTGGGGAAGACCTTGTTAATAATAGTGATTTATGTCAACTTTTAAATAGTGATTTGATTGTAGATAAAGTTTTATCTGTGGTCAATTCTAGCAAAAAGGTTATATCATTTTGTAAGTCAAACTTAGGTCTTATTTTGCCAGTTGAAATAAATTTACACTACGTAAATGAAAACGAACGTGAATATGGTTTAAAAAAACAAAGCTGTGAAACTTTTCAGTGTGTGCCCATTTTGCCATTATTAAAAAAGTTAGTCGAAAATGAGCTTATCTGGCATTCAATGAAACGAAAACTTGAAAAAGATGAGTCAATTAATAAAGACTTGCTATATTCATATTCAGATGGTTTAAATAGTAAACAACATGTCATTTTTAAAAACAAGAATGCATTAAGAATTCATTTATATTGTGATGAATTTGAGGTATGTAATCTTATTGGGGCTCATCGCTCAGTACATTAACTCTGTGCGTTTTATTTCTTCTTAGGTAACATTGAAGAGCAATATATTTCTCAACTTCAGAATATAAATTTATGTATTCTTGTTAAAGAAAGGTTTATAAAAAAATATAAAACATACAAACAGGTTTTAAGACCTTTAATTTAGGATTTGCTGACATTGTAAAATGAAGGTATATTAGTTACAGTTGATAATATGCAGGTTCGAATGTTTGGAGGGGTTGCAACTATGTCTGCTGATAATCTTTCCTCTCATGCACTTGCTGGTTTTTAACGTGTTTTTAACTCTGGTCGTTTTTGTCGTCATTGCTTGACTTCATCTATCACGAATGTGATACAACAATTCGTACCAATGAAATGCATCATTATCATTTAGCTGCTATTTCTGGTCTAGGTCGCATTTCTTCTAGTGTGTACGGTGTTGATAAACGCTGTCCTTTATTAGATTTACCATACTTTAATGTTTTACAGTCTTTTCCACCAGACATTATGCATGATATATTAGAAGGAACAGTTCCACAATTAGTAAATTTAATTTTAATAAAATTTAAAGCACTTGATATAATTACAGTAGAACAGATTAACACAGAGCTTAACATTTTTGAATTTGGCAGATATGACAGGAAAAACAAACCAGTACCATTTATTACCCGTACTGGTACGTCTATTAACTTTGTTGGTTCAGCGTCACAGAAGTTTTGTATGTTTCGGTTACTACCGTTTATGATTGGTAATCGCATACCAATATCTAATGTGTATTGGTTACTGTACTTGCAGCTGCGAGATATTGCTGATTACGTACTTGCTCCAAAAATTTTAAAAACTTCTTTATCATATCTTCAATTGTTAGTGGAGCACTTTTTGCAAAATTTTATTGAACTTTTTCCTGATAACTTAACACCCAAGTTTCATTTCACGCTCCATTATGTTCGTCTGATTAATGAAAATGGACCCCTGAGATATTTATGGTGCATGCGTTTTGAAGCTAAACATTTGTACTTCAAAAAGTTAGCTTCTTGCATTAGAAATTTTAAAAATATAGGTTTTTCTCTTGCAAAGCTACATCAGCTGAGACAGTGTTGGGAGATGGCATCTTCTGATTTTTTAAATGAAAAGTATGAAACATCTAATCTATGTTCAGTTACCTTTGATAGTTTAGAAACTTGTCTTCAAGAAAAGTTGCTATCTTTTTTTTTAAATAATATTATTGATAAAAAAGAAACAGTTTGGAAGTGTAATGCCATTGCAATAAATAGAATCCAATTTCATGTTCATGATACCGTTATTATAGCTTTACTTCATGCAGAAAAAATTACTTTATTTTTCAAAATTTATAATAATTTTCAATTTCGGCAACACTGGGTATTTTGTGGTAAGTTGCTAATTTGTGACAAATATAATGAGCACTTGCATGCATTCAGAGTTATCGAAGATGAAACTTTGTCAATATGCTTGCCAACAGAAGTTTGTGATTATCAACTTCTAGACACATATGCAATACAAGATGGCGACTCTTATATTACGCTCAAATACTTGTGTTTTAAATAAATAAAATGAATAAATTCTGAAAGGTTTTTTTGTTTTAGATATAATCTGCTACACAAAAAAAGCGCACAATATATATGTCAAATTTTTTGATCAAGCGATTCGCAAACAATAATATTGATAGAAAAATGTAGTCAATAATTACTATTAATAACTTTACTATTAGTACTCTAGATTTAATAATGATAATAGAGATAATAAAATGATAATGATAATAAAAATAATGTTGTAAACATGACAAAATTATTTTCATAATAACAACAAACATGACAGAAGTTCATAAAATCTTTATAATTTTAACTTAGCAAATATAATATTTCAGTTATTCCGACTGTACTTTTATCAATTTATAGATTATTCGCAACATTAAGTTTGTTGAAAATTGTTAAAATATAAATATAAAATTGCCCAATGGTATTGTGATATTTTTTTCAATAACAATCAAATAAAGATATTTAACCCTAAAGCTTAAAATTAAATTATAGTTGGATATTTATAACGATGTTTAACCCTCATGTTAATAACAATTTACTTTTAATGTAGAAGCAGAAATTGATGGAAAAACATTGTTGAGTTTAACGGAAACAATGGTTTCAAATTTGTGTGTAACAATGCGAAAGCAAGTTATGTTATTGGAAATAATAAAGAATCTTCAAGCACCGCATGCACAACAAGTTAATTTAAGTAAGTTTTGATACAGTTTAAATTCTTTAATACAATTAACAAATAATTTTTTGCTAACATAAAAATGTTGTGTTTATTAGTGTGTCTGACTTTGGTGTACTTTAGAGTAGTGCATCTGAAGTGTGTTACACTGCTGCTAGGAATATTTTAGTAGGACCCATTAGAACTACTTCTTTTATTTTCTTTTCAAAATAATTTATTAATTAAACAGAAATATTTGGAAAAACGAGATACCCATATGGAAGGAGACAGTGTACACGCTACTAATGAAAGAAATCTGAGAGGTAGAAGTGAAGTTTGTCAAACATGATTTTTTTAAAACTTTTTTCACCATTAAATATGACACAGAAATCAGACTAGGTTGTAAAAAAGGTGATGCAACAGTTACAAACATAAGATGTGTGAAATACACTCCAGAGCCATAAATATTTTATAAATTAAGTTACTCTTCCACTGAAGATTACAAACCTCTTCCGCAAAATCTTAACATTAACACGTCAATTGAACTTATTGACACTTATCAATCCAGAATTCCGATAGGAGAATCAAAATATAAAGACTTGATGAACCTTAAGACATTTGTAAGGAAAACTGCTTGGGAATTCTACGCCGATTTGCCTTATAACCCCAAAATAACAACTTAAATAATTTCCCGCATAATATACTTTTGATGTTATGTTATATTAAAAAAATTTATTTATGACAATGTGTACAGTACTGAATTTTTTTTGCCCAATAACAAATTTAATAAAAGTACAAATCAAAGTTTTTTTAAATTTGATTTGAAAGAAATAAACCCTTAAATCATTTTAGATATAAAAAATAATTAGATAGCTGAGAAATATCTAAATGTCATCTAAATCCAACGTCATCTAAATTTAACACTGTAAATTAGCAGATTAAATTAATTTAGCATTATTCAACTTTGACTATTTTTGTCATCTTATGTAAAAATTTTGTTTTTAGAAACGTTTAGGATTATTTTCAAAATCCAGGGGTCATCCTACTAGAAAATCTTTTTCTTTTACTTATATACAATAATATTGTTTATTAATTTATTTTTAAGTAAGTAGAACTTTTTCTTTATTAGTTTAAAATTGTTTTTCATTTACAATTTGTTTATATTATACCGTTTCTATAACATCAAAATTTCTTTTTTTTAACATTTAAGTTTGTATGTTGAAAGAAAATATTTATGTTTTAAAGTAGATAAGGTTTATATGACTGAAAAAAAAAATTACATTTATGAATTTACATATATTTACATTTATTTAATTTTTAAAAATATTTATTTGCTACAAGAGTAAAGTATTTGTGCATTTAAACATGGTGAGACTTCTTCGTCCTTAATAATCTGATAAGAATCTGATAAGTTAAGATATAAAAACTGTATTTACATGTAGTTAAAGATGTAAATATAAATAAATTTTTCAATATAACATTATTATAACAAGATAAAAAAATTATATCATCAAAAACAGTCTCGCACAAATAAGAAATGTAAAATTGAGAAAAAAACTTTATTAAAATAAATATTAAACAAATATCAAAACAAACTTAAGACAATTTCGTATCACATAAGAAAAAAGATATATTCAAAAATTGAACTTAAACTTGAAACTAGTTATTATAAATATTGAAAGTTTTCTATATATATCAAAAGTTTTCTGAGAATAAACATAAGCATTACTTGCAAATTAACTTGTACTGTTAATTTGTATTTCTATGTAGATCCACAAGTTGAACCGTCATATTTTCCTGCCCTATTTTTTCAAAACTAAAAATCCTAATTATACAATATATTATATACTTTCCGCAAAGTATTTCTGTTTCGGTTTTTTTGTCACAAAATTAGTTATTTAGTATTTATCAGTTAGTTATTAAGTTTTTACTAAATTATTCAAAAATATTAAAGAGTTTTGTTGTAATAAGTAAGTGTTGCAAGCATAACTTTTGCATTTGATATGTTAAATTTGCTGTAACACAAAAACTATCATTTTTGAATTATGATCATTTCTTTAAACAATATCAGAAACTTTTAATAAGTATAGGTAGAGACTGTGATGGATCATTCTTCTTAAATTGAACAAAGATACTTGACATAATTTTTTAATAAATAGTGAACCAAACTAGTAATAACAAATAAAATGAAAGATGATAAATAACAACAATTCAATAATAATTAATTGTTGATGTATTATTTGTAAAAAAGTAGAACGTTTGTACTATATTAACTAAATCTGTTATACTTTGCTTATATATACTAATATATTCATACAAATATATATATATATATATATATATATATATATATATATATATATATATATATATATATATATATATATATATATATATAAATGTATATTTATATAACTATAAAGAAACAGAAACATATCAACACTTTTATTAATATACATTTTAAAAAAGTAAACATAAGTAAATCCAAAATGCATATTATAAATAATCAAAACATAAAATAATCAATTTTACTCTGCAAAACAACTTTTTTAGGTCATCAAAATATTAAAAATTAACTATGGAATACTGCAGAAAGTATTAATGCAGTATTGTAATATAAGAATCTAAAGTTGTTAGTGCTTAGCGTTGCCTTAAGGCCAAAAATTAAGGCCTTGGTCTTGTCCTTGAAACTTTTGACCTTTTAGAAACTTTTGGTCTTGGTCTTCATAAAAAATACATAAAATTAAAGAGTTAAAAGATGTCATTTTTATGAATTTTTGTTTTTGGCTTTCATATATATCTACAAGCATACTTTTTTATTGACTTTGTTGAGGTCTGCGCATAACCTTGACATAATTTTACAACATGTGGTGTAATGTCACAGCACTTGCTGCCTACAGTTTTGTTAATAATTGGCCTTAAGGTTAGGCAAAAATTTAAGTCTTTAGTCTTGAAAATGTTTGCGTACGACTTGGCCTTGAAACATGTGGCCTTGTCTTCAGTCTTGTAAGTTTTAACCTTGGTATTGACCTTGTCCATCTAACATGTGGCTTTGGCCTTGCTAATTTTAACCTTGTTAACAATTCTCTAAGAATCTATAGCATTATTAAAGGCTTTTCTAGAGGCTTTTTAGATATTTGTATAATCATGAAGAATTTTCTAGGATTGAATTTTCTGGAATTTTCAGTATTAGTGAACCTCCCGAGGATGTTTATTACTACAGCAAATTCCTAAAAGTGCTTGCAATTTAATTCAATTTTAGAAAATGCATTTATAACAATATAACATTAATAGAAAGTTAAGTGGACTTCATATGCAGAATGATCTTGCATATAAACACCACTTAGCAACAATGCAACATAACATAATAAGAATTTTATTTGATCTAAAGTTATTAGTCACAACAACAAGTTAACACAAAAATTATTAACTAAAACCATTTTGGGAAATGACAAAAAACTAAATAAAATTAATAAAGTATATATTATGAATTTATCAATTAGTATGCAACATAACAATGTTTTTATTACAAATGCTATGTTGTTATTATAATAAAAAATTTTAATATTAACAACAACATAAGTTAAATTAAGTCTATTTATCTTAATTAAAATTACTTAAATCAAGTAATCAAGTGTTAATTACTCACAAACTTAATCATGTTATGATCAAGGACTTGTGTTTAAATAATCGCTATTAATAAATGTTTAAATAATCGCTATTACTGAAAACATTTAAAAAATTTTATAACAATCTTCAAATATTTACAAAAACACAATCTAAAATTTATGTACGCGAAAAACGCAGATAGTTCAAAAATGTATCTGGAAAATATGCAGATAGTCCAAATTTGTTTTACGCGGAGATCGCAGATAAAGCAATTTTGTTTATATATATATATATATATATATATATATATATATATATATATATATATATATATATATATATATATATATATATATATATATATATATATGTATATATATATACATATATATATATAAATATATATATATATTTATATATATATATATATATATATAAATATATATATATATATTTATATATATATATATATAAATATATATATATATATTTATATATATATATATGTATATATATATATATATATATATATATATATATATATATATATGTATATATATATATATATATATATATATATATATATATATATATATATATATATATATATATATATATATATATATATATATATATATATATATATATATATATATATATATATATATATATATATATATATAGAAGAAATACAACATTTTAATGGTACTCAAAGTTTTGGTCCTTTCGGCAATCATCCGCTCTTAATT